AAATCTTAGAAGTTACGTAGATATCACAACAAACTATTATCAATCAAACAAAAAGATTACATTGAATACTAATGATGATATATTATTATTATATTGCGTCTATCATATTTGTTGTCATGTTCGTAATGTTAGTAATATTGCAGTCGTAGCGATCTGAGCACCATGTCACCCAATTTTCAGGATTATCCGACTTGTTATAAATCACATTATTTACATCGGAATATACTTTGAGATAAGATTCTAGTTTTTCATTTGGAATGACCTTTGCTACTCGATACAGCATCCTAAAATAAAAAAAATGTATTTTAATAATTAATAAACAAATATAATAATTAATWATTAATTATAATCTTTTTATGTTTTGGATTTAAAATTTAATATTCGTTGTAATCCTAGCAGAATGGATTTTATGTCAAAGATATTCTTAAATTATACGTAGAATAAAAACAAAATATTATTTAATTAAATATGAATAAGGTATATGGTAATAAAAAAAWAAAWAATATTATATAAAATCAAACTGATGTATGGCATACAGTTTTCAGACCTGATAATTTGATGAGGCATAGTATGTCAACATTGGTAGTATAAATTGAAGTAATTAGTTTTATTTTTTTTGGTGAGATGGATATTTAGTTGAGGTAAAAAGTAAAGTTAGGTATAAAGAATATTGTTTACCTATTTACAGGAAGTGACACCCTACTAATCACTCGATTCTAAGCAGAGCTATATATTATAAGCTTAAATAATTTAGATTGATTTTGGCGTTATTTCCATACATGAAGTGGCAAAAAAAGAAAGAAAAAGAAATTATAGAAAAATGAAAGTATGAAAAGAGTAAACTCAAAAAACTCAAAATACGAAACCGTTTCTGATTATAYATTCTGTTCAAATGTAAGATTCTGGGTAATTAGGATAAGTAGTTATAAAAATTAAGAAAACATACATTTCGCAACTGGAGAAGACATTGGATTTTGAACATGATAATATCTTTGAATTTCWAGGATAAATAATTGAAATTCCAAATAATAGGTTTATATTATATAGATACTCGTATAGTAATAAWRAAAACGGCTTAGAAATCTTCCTCGGCTAATTACGCAACATTCATGTCATAAAACATGTTAAAATCATTGTTATAATCAATAKACTTATTACCAATTAATCCAAACTGGAAGTATGCCGGCCTTTTCAACAACAGCCATACGACACGCTATTCTTTCCACGCACTTTTCTGAGTCTAACACCTTCCGAAATACGGTCAGAGCTGGGTCGAACAACTCTAACATCTCCAACCGGCGTYTATCGTGCACTGGCGAGTTATCGGGTTTATTATTGTGCGACGGCGGCAGCAGTCCGTTCTTTCCGTCCGCCGTGCCCGGAAGTGCGGTGGGATCCGTGTATAATTTGGAGGCCAAGGTCTGCGATACTGGTACGGGAATAGGTTCTGTTAAGAATTCAATTATGCGTCTAGGGATGGACAGGATCCCGGTAATGGGCATCGGTGACGCCAAGAGCGGCAAGAGTATCGGCAGTAGCGTTAACAGGATGAGCGGTATCATGAGTAACTTGAACAGCTTCATCAGCTTGGAGATCAACAGGAACTTGAAGAACATAGCGATCAAGAATAGCTTGAGCTTCAACACGAGCAAGAACAGGATCTTGAGGAACCCGAAAATTTTGAGCTTGACCAGTCCGATTTTGACCAGAATCAGCATGGCRACCTTGTGCCAGTCGACTTTGTCGTAGATCATCTGCACCTGTTGTTGCAAGTTGCTCTGCATGTTGTACTGTTCGGCGGGACGGTGGGTGTTCGCGTAATACGCCGGCGGCATGTTGCTGTTGTACGTCGCGTGATGCTTGTAACCCGGCGCCATAAACTGACCGRCCGGATGCGGATACGGGGCTGCCATGTCGTACGGTGGCCGGCCCCTGGTTGGCCACACGCTCCCGCCGTAACCCGCCGACTGGCCGGCCGGGCTCCATCCGGTCCCGTCGTTGGGGTTTCCGACCGGTCTGCTGTAGCCCACGTTGTACGAATCGTGAAAGCCGGTCGAACCGTCTTCTTCGGCCACCGATATGTCCGTGTCGACGGCCGAATAATCGTTGTGGCCCATTTGTCTGAAATAATATTAAGGTAGATATGTGTAGCTTTAATGTGATGGTTTATTATTACGTGTTGTGTACTTATGTCACGTGTTAAGGTTACGTTAATGCATTGATTCCGAAGAACTTTAACAGTGATAATACCATGTTAAGTTAACTTTTGAAATTTCAACGATATGTTCAACCAGCAATTTACTTACCGGTTTACACAGACTTAGGACTGTTAGAATATCCTATCTATACGTGTTTATTAATGCTAATAATAATTGGAATAATATGGTAATCATAATAGATCAGTTGATTGCAATGAAGAATAATTTACAAAAAAATAAAATAAAATAATTTGGTATGGATATCCGATATACAACATAATTTTTTATAATTTTTAAAATGTTTTCACCAACATTCCATTTTCAGTCATGTAAGATTA